CATACCCAATTCTAGCAACCGTTCCTTATATGTTTTAGCCTCCAGTCCCCTAATCATCTTTGTTGCTCTTCTCTGTACTCTTTCTAGAGTCTCAACATCTTTTTTACATCATGGTGACCAAAACTGGTCACCACGATGTAAAACCGTGGTTTAACCATGATCAACCAATTTTATATTCCTTCCTTTTACTTTTAAGCGTATTAATCTTTAATTCAATCAAATATTGTCATAGGATTTGATTTCAGTTCTTCTCAACACTCAGATTTGTCCAAGGCTTTAGCAAGCCTCTTTGTAAATGCAAGAAAACATTTACCAGCTCATTCTCTTGGTTCTCTTGGTTTGTATTTTCCTTTTAATTTTTAAAATCAGTCATTTTCTTTCGCATATCCAGAAGTGTCCTTTTCCAAATTATTCTCTTAGCCTGGCATTTGTAGTTCCACGTTCTATAGTTTCTTTATCTTGTGAAATAAAATTTGTTCTAGATGTGTCATTCCTTCATTAACATTTTTAGATGTACTATGAACCCATAGAAGCAGACCTGATTTTTGATTGTGTTGATATTGTAGTTGCTAACTTCTGGTTTCATTCTTCAGAAATCTCCTGTTCTATGTTGAATGTAAAAACATTTTGTCATTTTATAAGTCCCAGTATTAATTGACATGAGGTGCATATTTTTTGCCTTAGAATCTTTCATTCTTCTAGTATCCAGTTTGTAAAATCATACAGTGAGGGAAAAAATTATTTGAGCCACTGCTGATTTTGTATATTTGCTCACTGACAAAGAAATGATCAATCTATAATTGTAATGGTTGTTGTTGTTGTTAATTGCGAAGTCGTGTCCGACCCGTCGCGACCCCATGGACAACATTCCTCCAGGTCTTCCTGTCCTCTACCATCTTCTGGAGTCCTTTATCATCACAAGATAATCTCTAATATGGGTTCTTATCCATGTCCAATCAGACTCACTTCAGCTCTTCCTTCAATGCTGCTTCAAACTTCTCCTCTCATGCTTCATTTTCCAGAACTCCTTGGTAAGCCAAGGCGCACACTGATTTGGTACACAAAGTGGCTGTATAGGAGTTATATCAGGGGTGTCAAACTCAATTTCATTGAGGGCTGCATCAGCATTGTGGTGCCCTCAGGGGGGCCAGGGGGGCATGGCCCACCGGGTGGGAGTGGCTATGATGGTCACGGCTCACTGGGTGGGTGTGGGCGATGTGGACATGGCTACCTTGACATTGCTCATGGGGGGACACCTGTGGGGACTGGGCAGGGTTGGGGGAGAACCAGGGGGTCTCTGGTGGGTGGGGCAGTGGGCAGGTTCGTCCTGTGTGGTGAGGTGGCAGGGTGGGGGTGCTGTTGCCACGGGCCAAAGCAAGGTGAGGCAGATCTTGCCCTTGGTCCATTTGCGCACCTGACACACCTTGGCCCCGCCTCGGGCTGCTGCTGCCAGCAGCTCGTGCAGGTCTATTAGGCTGCTGCCGTGACTCAGAATGGCAGGCCTGTCCAGCACAAAGGAGGCGAAGCGGCCAGCTAAGAAGTCGAGTACAGGTGGTAGAAATCACCCAGCAAGCAAAAGGCCACCCTGAGCAGGGAAAGCCAGATCCCCATCGGCGCCATGGCCACCCAGTCCCAGCCATGATTGCATGCCATGGCGCCAATGGGGATCCAACTTTCTCCACTCGGGGTGGCCTTTTGCCTGCTGGCCCGGGGTGTGCTCTACCACCTCTACTTGGGGCTTCCTAGTCAATCGCTTCACCTTTGTGCTGGGCAGGCCTGTAGCTGTGGGCGGCAGCCTGATGGACCTGCATGAACGACTGGCAGCCATGGCGGGTATTGAGGTGCACGAGGGGAATGCGCTCCACCCACGGGCCAAGAGCAAGACCCATGAGGGGGCTGAGGAGATGACCAGTGGTGACCTGTTCTCCAACCAAAAAGAGATGGGATGGAATAGGCATGTCCAGCGGTCATGTGCCCCAACTCCGCGTGCTGCTCGTGCCGCCACAGCGCTGGTGCTGGAGGGCCGGCCCAGTATTCACAGTGGGCTACACAGCCCCTGTTGTTCAACTCCTTTGGCCCCAAAGCACTCATCGCCTCCTGTGTGTGCACCTTTGGGGCCACCGGGCTGGGCGGGGAAGCGGGGCCAGTCCCTTGCTGTCTCCAGGGCATCCCTGAGGGCCACATATCAGCCAACCGCGGGCTGCATCTGGCCCGCAGGCCTTGTGTTTGACATGCCTGAGTTATATGGTCCAAAATCATCTGCCCATTTGAACAAGCTACGAGATCCTTACAGAAATCCTCAAGCTCTCTCTGGAACCCCACTGGGTCCATCAATTGCTGGAGTAGTTTTTGCTTCTCTTAAGAGAAAGGAAGAAAGAAAAAACTGCCAATGCCAAAGATCATTAGGAAGTCATCACCATTAGGATAGTCTCCCTCTCTAATCAGAATTAACTGTTGTGATAGTGAATAGAAGTGTCAAGAACTTGATTTTCCAACAGCAGATGTCAAGGGAATGGAATGAAAGAAGCCACCAGTAATAGCAATATTGAAATTTCTAGCCTAATATTCTAGATATCAATAGAATCCATGCAACTAATGAGTCAAATAAATGGGCTTCCTTTTATGAGGTTGTCAGTATTTTTAAAATCAAGATTAAACAACAAATATAAATCAAGCACTGGCATCTTCATTCACCTTAGCAACACACTAATTGTGTTTTCAAAAGATTTACAGAAGTGTGAGTTTTAACCATTTTCTAACCTACCAAATGGGATAAGGCCATCTTTTTTGGGGGGGATAAGCTGTTACCCAGAAGAACACCTGCCACCATTAAGGTGTTTTATTTCTGGGTCCCACATTGCTGACATTCACTAGGTGGAAGTACCTGTAAATGCCCTCTATTTGATTTTCTTATTGGCTGGCAGAATTCTCTTTGATTTAACAGCCTTGCAGATACAAACATTTAACCATAAGGTAATAACCAGCAACTTGGATTGCATCCAGAAGCCAAATAAAATCCATGAAGCTCCCACAATATATATATGGCAAATGATAAAACAGATAGAAACTGTTGGTGGACTACTTCATTTTGGACAAAATTAGTTTCCTAATGTTTTTCAATGGCAATCCCATGTAATGAGCTTTGTAAAAATCTAGCCACCAGATAATGAATTTTGTAAGTAATTTAGTAAGAGATCACAGGGAATGAGTGACAATCAATAAAGCCTTCTGTTCCACAACTACCCAAAGACTCTCCTTTCGTTCCACCTACTATCACAGATGACATGGCTCCAAGACAATCCTCTGTAATGGGTAGACCACCAATCAGTCAAATATGGTATTCCAGCCATTCCTCCAGATGGCTTCTGGAGGAACAGTCATTCTACTGTGCCAGGACTGAGTCTTAACCCATTTTCCCCACACAGATCTGTCCAGGATCAAACTATAGATATGGCACTGAACACTGCCAATAGACCAATTGAACCAGGAAGATCTAACTCTTCTCCCCCACCATTCAGATCTCCCTTGTCATCTTCAATAAGCATGACCAAGTCTTAGCCCTGTATTTTGAATATTGACTAAAAAGGGCCAATAATCAGTGTCACTCTGCATGCATACGTAAGTTCACACAGCACATGCAGTATACATTTAGCATTCAAATATAGGTTTCTAAGGATTGAGAGTCAATGATGTATATTCAAGTCACAGAAAAGCAATTATCAGAGTATGAGAAAAAGAATTGGTAATAGGAAATTAACAAGAAATCCACTAATAGGTGCCAAATGCTCATTTTTTGATATATAAGGAGAATTTGAATTGAAGCCCATCAGGACTACTAGAAGCATAGATTACTGTATAGTATAAACTACACAGTATAAACTATAAGACATAAAATATGTGTGTGTGTGTGTGTGTGTGTGTATTGCTCCTAGAAGCACGAAGCCAAAAGCACCAGATGACGAATGAGACTTTGTCGAAACGTCGCCAAGACACTTCCAATTTGACGCGGGAGAAAATCCGAATAACCAAAGACCTACATATATACATATATATATACACACATATATATACATATACGTATACATATATATACATATACATATATATATATATATGTATATATATACATACACATACACACACACACACACACACACACACACACACACACACACACACACACACACACACATATATATATATATATATATATATATATATATATATACACATATATATATGTTGAGAAAAGTAGTCGAACACCAGGATAAATAAAAACAACTGTTTAATAAACTAACAACTGTTTGATAAACTTAGCTTTCGTCGGCTAACTGCCAACATCATCAGAGTGGAATGCCGAAGATTTGAAAGCATGCTCATAAGACTGGCAGCACGAAGACTAGAAGCACAAAGCCGAAGACACCAGCCTAAAGATGACGAATGAGACTTCGTCGAAAGGTCGCCAAGACACTTCCAATTTGACGTGGGAGAAAACCCGAAAAACCAAAGACATACATATATATGTATGTATGTATGTATGTATGTGTGTGTGTATGTGTGTGTGTATGTGTGTATGCGTATATACACATATACATACATACATACATACATAAATACATACTATAAACAAGATTCCTGTGGAAGGTTTATATGATCTAAATCAAAGATGTCAAACTGCCGGCCTGCAGACTGGATGCATCATGCCAAAACCACGCCCAACCCATTGCCAGCAATGGAGAAAAAGTCATGATACGTCGCGACACGTCACATGACGTTGCGAGTCTGACACCCCTGATCTAAATGGTCCCTTCTAGAGTTTACTTCATCTGCCCTCTTCTGACAAGTGAAATTTTGTTTAAATACATGCATGTATTTGTTACCCACATGAATAACAGCAGGTCAACATATAGTGCCATACACAACTTTGTAGTTATGCGCTCCTAATAATATAATTCCTCTTTGTCTATTTTAGTAAGTTGCAATCACCAAAAATAAATTACCTTTACATATTTGGCATACATTTGTTCATCCAGAGGAAAACTCTGGACATTTCTTTCATCTCTGGCATGAAAAGTGCCTAGCTTGACCCACTTATTTGTTGGATACCTAGGAGAACAATACATAAAGGATCAGAAAGCACAATGATTTTCTGATTAAATAGCAAATAAGATACTTCTTAAAATAAATTATACAATGTTTTCTACTTTATAGCTGATATCATCATCATCATTTTAGCCATTGTCTATCCGCTGCAAGATTAAGGCCTCTTCCACATGTTTCCAACCAATACGGTCTTGAGCTTTTTTTTGCCAATTGGGACTGAAATGCTTGCTATGTTGTAGATCCACCTTATTTTAGGTCTCTTTCGTGAATGCTTTTTATCTAGTGGGATCCATTCTACGGCTGCCTTGGTCCACCTGCCATCAGTTCTTCTTGCTATGGGACCAGCCCATTTCCATTTCAATTATTTTACTCTCTTGATGATATCATATATTTTTGTTTGTTCTCTAATTCATGTGCAATTCTAATTCTTTCTATTTTGTCTTGTAATGATGGGCATGTATCTTTCCATGGCTTTTTGCACCACTTGTAGCTTTTGTATCAATTGTGAGGTTAGTGTCCATATTCAATTGGCATAGAGCAGGTAGCACAAACTGATCAAAAACTTTTCTCTTCAGGCATAGGGGGAGGTTGTTCTTAAAAATAATGCTTAGCTTGCTGAATGCCTGCCAACCACATTTAACATATTGTTCAATTTCCTTTATTGTATCACCTTCCATTGAGATCTGTTGGCCAAAGTATATGTAGTGGGCTATTATGTCCAGTTCTTCTCCAGATATATAAAAAAATTTCTTTGGTGAATTTATTAACTATAACCTGGCTCTTTTTCAGGTTTATTTTTAAGCTAAATGTTTCTCCTGTTTTATGCAGCTTTTGTATGTGTCCTTGTAGCTATTCTGGGTCTTGTGAGAAGAGAACAGCATCATCTGCAAATCTTAAGTGATTTAAATTGGCACCACTGATTTTTATTCCATCTTTTGCCAAATCTAGTTTGCAAAATACTTCTTCAAGGCAGATTAAGAAAAAGATGTGATATTGTATCACCTTGTCATATATCTCGTTCGATGTTGATTTCCACTCTAAGATCATTAAGGCAAATTGTCACCATTGTTTTTTCATATATGAATGTAGTAAGTTTATATAAGCAGTGTCTATGCCTTAGTTGAGTAATGCTTGCTTGAGTTATTGCTTGCTGGAATACTGAATCAAATGCCTTCTTGTAGTCAATGAAAACCATGCACAGAAGCATAGTGTACTTGTTGTGCCTTTCAATGAGTTGCTGAACAACCTGGATGTGGCCACTTTTGAACCCTGCCTGCTCCTTTGGCTGAGCATTATTTAATGTTCTCGATATACTTTTTGCTATTATCTTGGTGAAAACCTTGCAAGAAGGTTTATTGTGTGATAGTTCTTTAAATCATCTTGGGCCCTTTCTTGCGTATAAGAATCACTTCAGCATTTTTCCATGCATCGGGTATTTTTTCTTCCCTAACTCATCTCAAGTATAGCTTTGTTAGTATCTTGTGTAAACTGTGACTGCCAGCTTTCAGCATTTCAACCGTAATGCAGTCATTTCCTGAAGCTTTGCCATTTTTCATTGATTTTGTGGCACTTGATAGCAATAGCACTTAGACTTACATACCACTTCACAGTGCTTTCCAGCCCTCTCTAAACAGTTTAGTAAGCATATTGCCTCCAACAATCTGGGTCCTCATTTTATCAATCTTGGAAGGATGGAAGGCTGAGTCAAGGGTGAGAATTGAACTGCCAAACTGCTGGTAGTCAGCAGTCAGCAGAAGTAGCCTGCAGTCCTGCATTCTAACCACTGCGTCACCACGGATTATATTTCCTCCACTAGGATATCTGGCATTTCTTTTTTCATGGGTGTTGTTACTTTTGAGTGCTCTTGATCTTTGTATAACTCTTTAATAGAATTTTCCAATTATCTGTAACATTTCTGGATTGTTCTACACACAGAGCCATCTTCACGGTTTAATGTAAAAACCTTCTTTTTTGTCTTTATAAGTTTGCATTTTGCTCTATAAATGCCATTGTTTTCTTCAATTGCCTTTTTCCCAAGCTTCACATTAAACTGATGTTTCTTCTTGGATACATTTTCTTATGGTCTTGCAAAATTCAACATCTTCCAGTTTATTAATGAAACTTCCAGTATTTTTCATTGTCCATAATTTTTTCATTAAATCAATAGTTTCACCAGAGATTTTTGACTGTACAAAGTGTTTTTCTGGAGATGCTATAGATCAGGGGTCTCCAACCTGTGGTCCATGGCCTGGTACCAGGCCGCAGCCTGTTGGCCATGGGACGCGGAATGGCTGGCGAGTGTGTGTGCACGTATGCAGCCCCCCACTCATGCTAGACCCACCGTAAAAGCACTAGTGGCCCCATTTGCACATGTGTGTGGGTGCTAGCGGCACATTTGTACATGTGCGTGGGTGCTAGCGGCATGTTTGTACACACACACAGGCACCTGAACAGGCACTGGTGCCACTGCAGGTACGCATGGCCCACTTGCACATGCACATGGGTGCACACACACGCACACATTTCCCTGCTCCTCCCTTTCCCTCCAGGCCGCCAACCTGGAAAGGTTGGGGACCTCTGCTATAGATGTAGCAGATTCAAAGGTGTTTTTAACTATTTGTTCGTTCTGGTCCATAATATTGCTCTCTTCCCAATCTTGCAATAGAGGAAGGGAATTTGATAGATTAATCTCAAAATTGCTGTTCTCTAACAAACTATTTTTGTTTTTTGTGACATATTTATCATTTTCAAATGCTCTTTTTGACAGTCTTTCTTCGCTTTAGCTTGTACCATTCTAATGATCACTTCCAAAGTTAAAACGATTGATGACAGTACAATTCCAGAATATAGTTTTATCACGTGACATGATGTAGTCAATTTTGCTTGCGTACCCAGATAGACTCTTCCATGTCCATTTACTGCTAGCTTTTTTCTTGTAAAATGAGTTCATTATATAAAGTTCCTGTCCTTCAGCAAAATCTACTAGTCTGTCGCCTCTATTATCTCGTTCACCATTTCCATATGGACCAGTCATTTTTTCTCCAGGTATTGTTCTTCCTATTGTTGCATTAAAGTCACCTGTTAGTATTTTGTATCGGCATTTTTCTTTGTCTTGAAGGCAGGCCACATCTGATATAATTATATGAAATTAAAATGGAAAGTACTAAAGGAAGCCTGTTACCTAAATTTATTATTTTAAAAAAACAGTCAGTATAACCACAATACACACTAGTTGAAGCCTTATGTACTTGTAAAGTTAAGTGTTCATTTTTTTCCTGCAAAGAACTGTAAATGAGAATTTATTAAAAAAAAATTATTAAATTTTAAATAAGCATGCTAGATTTGTCTGCTAAAATCATGAACATAGTAAAAATTATGAAATTACAAAAACTGACCTTCAGTTTCACTAAACTTTGTGACAATAAATTCTACAATTATATTTTGATCATGAGACATACCTGTCACTGATAGACACCAGAAAATCCTTAGGAGTGGATGAGAATAATTCATGATTAGCAATATCCAGCTGTTTTACTTGAATGGGTTCACACAATTCAACAACAAACCTTCAGGGCAGATAAAAATTACATTATGTTCAAAGCATGTTCAAAGCTATTTCTCAAAAAATAGGTAAAACTATTGACTGAGCAAACAACCATTTTATGGCAATTGATCGCAGAAATGTGCTTCAAAATGATATGAAAAGTTTCTCAGAGGTATTATTCATTGCTTTCCATACAAAGAAAGCATTAGCAATACAATAAAAATCACTGTGCCAAATAAGGCTTAATAACAATTATCAACATAAGAGTCAAGCTCAAAGAAACTTCATTAAGCTTCAGCTATTTCTGTTTCTTGGCTTGCCTACAAACCCAGGAGGGAGTGAGGAAGAATGGAATGTGTATTGTAGGTGTGGAGCTACTGAGCCTGAGAACCAAGGTCATTCAGATTTTGTTTTCTGAGAACTGAAGATTCTTTCTCATAATAATTGTTTGAAGCTTAATTGGGTAACGTGACCTGCATTGTCAGGGGGAAAGAAGTTTCTATACTTTTAAATACTGATTTGGCACCAATTTAGCCAGAGCTGGTTTTCTGTTCATCAGTGCTGATATTGTGTGCTCAATAAAGTTTTGCATTAGAGATTGGAATGTCTCAGCTGTGCTTACTTCGTTGGGATCATCAATCAGAACCTTGACAAAAAGATTATCTTGGAGACATTTTAATTGCCATATTGTGTCAGATCCCCGAAAAAATGTATTACTATTTCTGCTAACCTCTACATGCTTCTATAACCATTTTTTGGGGCCTGCCATTCTGTTGGGAGGGGGGATTCCGATGTGGGAATATACAATATGCTTTGCTCTACCTATGCCACATTGCCCTTCCCCCAGCAGAAGGAATGTGCCCAGATACCATCACCCTTATCTGGAAGATGGTTTGTGCTTGGAGCTGGAGGGAAATGAAACTAAGAGAGACCTTGAAGAGGGCGCCAAAGGAGCCAGTTACCAAAATAATATACCACCTATGGACTGGCTGAGATTCAAACAGACAGTGGGACCCTGGGGAGAGGAGTAACTGCTTTTAATATATTGCTTCCGCGAGCTATTTTCTCAGACATTGCTTTGCTTCCTTGCTATCACTAACTCCCAATAAAAGTTCCTTTTGAGACAATGCCTGTTTCAAGAGTTCTGCTTTCTTGGGAGACCTAGTTGAGGCAGGTCCTTACAACTTGCTTTATTCTCTTCACTGCCAAATATATCAAGAAAATGTATGTGTTCTAGAAATAGTATGCATGCTTTCAAATACACCTTTTTTTTCTTATGTGATTGTGGGACTGCAGTTCTAAGAATATTACAAGAAGTCAAAACTTGGTAATGAACAGGTACTTTAATGAAGAATTCTGAATAAAGATAAAGCCAGTTACAGCTTTCACAAATCTTAACGATAGAGAATTTTAAATACTTGGATTGGAAAAGTGAAACCAGAATCTTTCCTCTTGGAACTGATGGATAAATATTTTTTAAAAAATCATGGAATATTGTTTTCACATTACATAATTACAACAAGATTATTGTACACTCAAAGATGGAAAGATTTGGTAATATATATGATAGAGGAATAGTTGATGAGAACTCACAGAAAGGGCCAAACTGAGTTGTTTGATTAGAAAAAAACCCAGTATGTTTATTGGTGAGTAGAAAATCTTATGGATGTCTTAATAAAAAAGAAAAAAATGAATACGATTTATGTTTTTGATGATTAGATAGGGTGAAGTACCAGTACTCCTTAACTTACAACTACTCAGTTATTATTCAATTAAAACAGCACTGGAAAAAAGTGACTTATGAGCATTTTTCATACTTAAAACCATTGCAGCATCCCCATGATCATCTGATCAAAATTTGGACACATATTTTTGAATGTTACACTATCCCACCAGAGTGATATGATCACCATTTGTAACCTTCCCAGCTAGCTTCTAACAAGCAAAGTCAGTGGGGGACCAGATTCGCTTAACGATCATGATTCATTTAATAACTGCAGTGATTTGCTTACCAACAGTGACAAAAATGGTAGTAAAATGGGACATAAATCACTTAGTAATTGTCTTGCTTAGCAATGGAAATTTTGGGTTCAATTGTGGTCATAAGTCAAGGACTATCTGTATACAAAGAAGAGTCACAATATATCTTTAGAGAGGTCAATTTATAACTGTAGATATAATTGCTGAAATGGAGATTGGGAGACATTTCTTTATATATTTTTTCTATTTTTCTGCTACTGTTTTTCTTTTTGTACCTTTATTTTTCCTTTTTCACTCTATTTTAGTTTATAATACACTTATTCTTGTGTTATGCAAGCCCTGAAAAGGTGATTTGAGAACCCCCTCGGCAATGAATGAGTAGAGATCCATGTCGCAGCCATTGAAAAGGGCAAACAGTTGGTTTCCATACAAAGAAAACATCAGCAATACAATAAAAATCACTGTGCCAAATAAGGCTTAATAACAATTTATCAATATAAATGTCAAGCTCAAAGAAACTTCATGCTGCTTCATGCTGGTTCTGAGATATCTGCCAGTTCCTTCAGAACTCTGGGATGTAATCCATCAGGTTCCAGTGATTTATATTTATCAAGATCAGACAGGTATTCTCTAACCATTTTCTTGCTTATTGTAATTTTTATTTGTAGTTTGTCTTTTACAGTTATGTTTTTGGTAGGTTGGGCCATAGTTTCTTTTTGTGTAAAGATTGATGCAAAGAAGAAGTTAAGCAGTTCTGCTTTCTCTCTGTTGCCTGTTACTTTCTTGCCATCTTCTTTCTTAAGTGGCCTACTGTTTCCTTGACTTTTTTCTTGTATTTAGATGTTGAAAGAAACTTTTTTATTACCTTTGACTTTTGTTGCAAATCTTTGTTCATTATGAACCATTGCTTTCCTGACTTCATCTTTGCAAAGTCAGGCTATCTGCTGATACTCTGCCTTAGTTATGTGTCCCTCTTTCCATTTTTCGTACTTGACCCTTTTTGTCTTTATCAGAGAGATCTTTGTGCAAGCATGCTGGTTTCTTCTTGGATTTCTTGTTTTTCTTTTTCAGTGGTATTGTGCTGGACTGGGCTCTTATGATCATGTTTTTCAGTTTTGCACGCTTCTTGAGTTGTTTTCCCCTTTAGAATTTTCATCCATGGAATTTTTCTTACACTTTCTCTGAGCTTGTTAAAATCAGCTCTTTTAAAGTTTAAGATACTGGCTGGATTACGTTCTATTGCTTGGAATTAGGTTGAAGATTGTCCCCCCCCCCCCCCGAATTTTAGTTTAAAGCCCTTCTAATAAGATGAGACAGTCGTTTTCCAAATTATTTTCTTTCCATTCTTCTGAGGTTTACTCCATCCATTTCCAGTAGCTCTTCATGTAGGTAATGCGGACCATGGTCTAGGAAACCAAAGTTCTCTTGATGACACCAGTTTTTAAGCCAGTGCTTCATTTCTAAAATCCTTTGCTCTCTCATTGGATGTTGGTCTTTTGTTGGAAGTATAGATGAAAACACGACTTGTGCTCCTAATTCTTTAACTTTCTTCCCTACCTGTTCATAATCTCATTATTGTTTTTAGATTCATTGTTGTGTAATTGGTCCCCACATGTAGGAAAAGAAAGGTGTAGAAATCTGTGGAGTTGATTATTTTAGTAAGGTTCTCAATTTCATCTTTGATTTTTGCTCCAGGGAGACAATATACCTTGCTAGATTGACTGTTCAGTTTGCAGACTATAATTTCTATTCCCCAAAGAATTGAATCTTCTATCACCAATATTTCATTTTTTTTCCTAGAGAAGTCTAGGATACTATTCTTCCTGTCAACAGAAAAGAAAGGGTAGACAGGAAAGGCTTTGCTCTTGGTTGCTGTTTTCTTCTAAAAGTGATGTTTTTATTGGTCTCCCTCTTTAGGTTCATATATAGGGTCATTTTTTTCAGAAGCTGTTTGTTCCCTATTGTATTCAATTTGGGTGTACTGGACTAGACTCATTTCTGGAGGAGCAGCATATCATGGCTGCATCTCACCTATCCAAGCTTCATGGGCTGACAGCCTGACATTAGCATCGGATGGGGGGGGGGAGATTGGAATGTAAGGAAGAGGGGGGATGAAAGACCAATTGAGCCATGTGAGAAGCTACAGCCAGCTAAGGTTTAGTAATGATATGCAGAGCTGGGAACTGAGCACCTGTTTCCTAAACAATATACAAGCACTTGATTTAGCTTACACTAGTTCTGTAACCATTTAAGCTTTAATGATGTATACTCTCAATTCAAAAATAGGTTCTAGTTTTGAACTGACAAGTTGAAGAGGGCAGATTCTGATTCAGATGGCAGGAATATATTGAACTTTTGTACAGTAGAATACAGAAAATGAATATCCAACATACCTTGAATAGAATAGAGCTGGAAGGGACCTTGGAGGTCTTCTAGTCCAGCCTCCTGCTCAAGCAGGAGAACCTATACGAGGGGTGTCAAACTCAATTTCATTGAGGGCCGCATCAGCATTGCGGTTGCCCTCGAGGGGGCCGGGTGGGTGTGGCCAGGGTGGGTGCAGCCTACTGGTGGGCGTGGATGGAGTGGGTGTGGCCTACTGAGTGGGCATGGCCAGCTCTACATCCTTCACATCAAGGGTGCCTGTGAGGGCTTGGGCAGGAATGGGACAGATCTGGGGGTCTCTGGCAGAAGGGGGTGGGACTGGGGCAAGCGCCAAGGCATGGTCCATTTCTTCATTCCTCACAAAGAGTGACACCTCCCCAGCATGCACCCAGGGGGCGGGGCCAACAAGGCAGGGGCTGGTTCCTCGCTGTTTCTAGACGGCCTTGTGGAGCTAAGACTGAAAATTGTACATTGGCCCCCGGCTGGCCTGGGCCAGGGCCAAGGCAGCAGGGGCTGTTCCCTCAATGTTTTTTTGTTGGAGGTACAAAAATTTGAGAATTGATTGATTCCCATGATAGTGATCTGGAGAATATTTAGTATTTTTTTAAACAATATTTTAACATATATAAGTAGATTAATGGGAAAAATCTTATATTGCATTATATATATCAAAGTTTTGGCAGCTGATTATCAGAAAGAATGACTGCTCATACATGGGGGATGTCTAAAAAAATATACTGAGAAATTGAAAAACAATATTATTCAAGATGTTAAGGAATACCATTTGGAAATGTATAACTTACCTATCATGGAAAAAGCAATATTCTCCACAAATCAAAGAATGGAGCAACATGTACTATTTGGCAGAAATTTTGATATTTTATAATAATATCTTATTTTCAATTATAACATTATGTGATATTTGTTAGTAAACTAGTCACTATTGATGTTTAATATATAAAGTGGATTTTTATTTACTATGTTTCCCCAAAAATAAGACCTGGTCTTATATTTTTTTTGGTCCTCAAAAGAGGCACTGGGTCTTATTATTTTCACATAAGAGAGGTGGAAAGCGCAGGGGCCGATGGGAGTGGGAGAGCTGCTACCTCTGGCCCCACCCTCTCCATCCCATCTGCCAAGCCCTTGGAGCACCCCAGTCTCCGGCCACCTTGTCTGTTGGCCCTGCTGGGACACTTCTCGGCCACAGTGCACGCCAAATGGCGGCCCATGCTGCTTCTGGCCTTGCGGGGTCTCTTTGCCCTCCTGGACGGGCTGCTCTAAGCTGCCCTGCTGGGCTGCTTCTGCCTGGTGTGGGGTGATTCAGCCCAGATCTTCCATATGACCTTTGGAGCACCCCTCTGCCGCCAGCCTGCCAGGGGGGGTCCCTTTGGCAGTGGCCGCTAGTGGAACCGCGCTGCCCATACAGCTGCCTTCGAGCTGCTGAGCACCAGCCTGCACGCTTACTTGGTGTTGTAGGCACAGGGCTATGGGCTGAGCCTGGCGCTCTTCAGGCCTTGGCGGGCACTGCAACTCTCATCCTGGCTATGCGAGGCAGACACAGGGCTGCCCCTGGCCACTTTTGGCCTCTACCTCACCTGCGGCTGGTCTGCCACCAGCTGCTGCCGCCAGCTCACCTTCCACCCAGCCCAGCCCAGCTAGTGCTGCCATGAGGTGAGGTGAGGCAGGTGGAGTTTCCTCTGCCTGCCAGACACCTGCTGAAGCCGTGCAGGGTAAAGGCCAAATAAAGTTGAAAAATACCAAAAAGAAGTTCTTCACTGATTGTAGGAAGGCATTAGATTGTATTAACCAGACTAACCACATGGAATAACCTTAGGAAAATAGAAATCCCAAAACATGTACTCATGAAAACTATATGCAGAACAGGAAGATATAGTTCCAGCAAAATATGGCAAAAGAGCTGATTCCAAGTCAGCAAAGGAATGAGAGAAAGGTATTTGTTCTTTTTTATTTATTAAATTTTTATTTTTATATTTATTAAATCCATATGCTAAATTAAGAGAGGCTGAATAATGTTTTTTTTAATTAAAGGAAGAAACATCAATAATCTGCACTAAGCTGATGACACTATTCTGATAGTTGAAAATGCTCTCCAAGCTGCAATAATAAAAGCGAGAAGCACAGTGGAAAAAAATAGAACTATCATATTTTAGACATATTATCCATAGATATAAGTGCCTTGAGAAATCTATAATGCTGAGGATGGTAGAAAGAAAGAAAAAGGTTATCAGCAACAAGGTGGATGGACTCAATCAGTAATGAGCACACCATCAGGGGACTTGAAGGGTGAGCCTTGGGATAGATCATCCTCAAGCTGGTCTATTTATTTGGCTTTTTAAGAGTTGATACAAATTTGACAGCACATGATCAAAAATAAATCATGTATACTATGTGTTTGTGATGCCTAGCAGTGTTTCTTGAAATCTTTTTTTTATTATTGCAAAAGAAATTATTCAATTAAAATAGTCATTTTACTGAAAATGTACTTACCAGATTTTAGTACTGCATGGATTTAGCATATAGAGGTCCATATTTTCCATTAATATTGCTGATGTACTCTATTACAAATGAGAACATAATTAATTAGCAGAAATTGTAACCTAATTATCTTTTGGCTTTTTGGTAGAATATTTGTATTATTACATATATGCATGCGTACAAACTCAGATACAATTAATGGCAGAATTACAAAAGGGTGCACAATTTTATTTTTTATTTCAAAATCAAATCATGTCTGCAAGTTGTTTAAAATGGCATATATAGGATATTTTTTGGGCTTATATTATCACTGCTCAATGAAACTGATGCTGTTCTCTACTTCTGATAAATGACAGGCTGATTTATTCTACAAGCAGCAGTGAAAACCTCTTACAATACTGATAGGAATCATTGGGGATTTGCCAGAAACATAAATAATCGTTTTAGATCTTTTTAATAATCTTTTAACGTGTTTTATCCAGTTTTAGACTATACACATTGTATTTTTACTGTCAGGTCATTATGATTCAGTTTTCTGAAGATAGCTTGTTTTTGAAATACTGCTTGTAAAACTAGGCAGACCTTGATCGCCCATTAATTGCATCATTGACTGTGATGTATTGCTATGTCCTCTTGTGATGGCTCTGTCTAGTTTTGTTTTATTTGGATGTTTGATTTATGTGTGGCCTTTGGCTGTAATAATAATAAATTGAAAAATTGAGAAATACTGATGGAAAATGAAACTTATTTGTACTATAGAATATTTCAAATTTGATTGCAGCTAAATATATTTATTAGAAACAAATGAATCCATATTCAGCAGTTTTCTAAAAATATAAACTATAGCATTGTTAGGTGTTGCTATTACCTTTGCTTCTGGGTTAGCTGCCAGTATTTTGGCACCACACTCAACTGAAGCATAATTATTTCTATTTTTTTGGACTTTTTTTGTAAGATGTTGACCTCCATTGGAAGAAGGATGCATCGATTGACCTGCATACCAGACAAAATGTACCAGAGAATTAATAAGAAACATTTTAAATCTTTATCACCAAGCTCTGAAGCTAAAGCAACTCATAAAAATAACTAACATTCTTTGGTACTAATAACTTATCAATAGTAATTTCCATTCATATTATCAGCTACCTGTAATTATTCTGAAGTCTCTTTTATTTTAACTACATGTTAATACCATATTAGTTTCAATACGTATAACGTGAAATGATGGTACTATATAAAAGGATTTATAAAATCTCCATTTATTTAAATGAATATATAGCCTAAGGCAGATATGTCAAACTCGCAATGTCACATGACGTCACTCAACGTATCGGGACAGTTTTGCCATTGCCGGCAATGGGGTGGGCGCGGCTTCCGCATGACGTGTCCGGCCCATGGGCCGGCAATTTGACACTCCTGGACTAAGGTATTGCAATAAAGGTCAGTCATGAAATATGAGTAATAGCGTATCCTACCAGAAGTTTACAAAACATTGAAAATAGGGGATAAAAGCTATTCCCAGATCATCTGTTTTCTACTAGTATAATATTCATGTTTTTGGTGGACACATTTTTTCTTTAAAAGTAAGTATACTACAATTCATTACTTTGTAGAAGTCTGTTTTTAAGAAACATATATGTTGCTCTTACATTTTATTGTACAAAATTTATTTATTCTTTTACTCAAAAATGATGATACATAATTTTTTCTAAAATAAATCAATAATTTTCAAGCGGAAGAGGGTAACATCAGAATCTGAACAAGTTACTGATACCTATTATTTATTTGAATGTCTTCTCTTTATCCATGCCATTCCACAGAGTTATCAGGCCAGATTATGAACTAATTACCACTTAGTTTTCCCAACAGAACCTTACACTTCTTGCCATTTATTGGAAAATACTCAATCTTCAAGTGAATTTTGACCCTAACTTCTGATTCTGCTAGCAAACCTTCCCAGCTGTGTCATCTATAAATCTGCTGAGTATCTTTTCCATGTCCTCACATTCAAGGATACAAAAACTCTGATCAATAGACATATTAAAGAAAAGTTAATTAAACTGTAATGAATCCTAATAACTGTTATGTAACAAATATTAGTCCTATTTATAATGAAATTATTCAAATTCTTGTACTTTTTTCTCCTACTCATGAATCTACTCTTTTCTGGGCAGAAGGGAAGATATCCATGTATCTCTTGTAGTAATGTGCTATTCTTGTTTCAGGCTTTTTGCCTCTGAATTTTTGAGAATTGCCTTTCATAGTCAGGGTCCAAGTACCACTGATATTCAATGGGGTGGTCAAATACACTGCATGATAGAAACATGAACAGAGTGAAGGACAACAGTAAAGGAAGAGACAGTCCTATTAGTAATGAAGAACTGTTGAAATTGCTTCAAGATCATCAGAGACACCTAAAGCACAATGGGAATCAAGCAGGAGAAAGTGATCAGTTGTAATTAAAGACAAGAGAGAACTTACAATGAATGAAAACAAAATTCTACAGGTAGCCTTTGTTGACAGTAATTGAGACTGGAAACTCTGTTGCTAAGCAGCATGGTTATAAATTGCATCACTTGACTATACCTATTTATGACAGTTCCAGTTGCTATTGTTAGGCAAATCCCACAGGGTCACAGCATTCCATGATCACATGTTCACCATTTGTGATCTCTTGCCGGCTTCCACACTTATTTTGCTTGTCAGAAGCTGGCAGGGAAGCTCGCATATAGTGATCATGTGTCTACAGGATGCTGCAATATAAGTGAGACAGCTGGAGAGTACCCAGATTGTGATCACCACCAAATGCGTCAATGGCCACAATTATAAGTATCCATTATAAGCATCCCTTATTCTGCACTGTTGTAACTTTGAATGGTTGCTGAACAAGTGTATGTTAAGTGAGGACTACCAGTATTAGTAAGGAACTGTTTAATTTTGGCATTTTATGTGTGTGTGTGTGTGTGTGTGTTTCAAATACATATTTGAAATAGACACCTAATATTAGAACCATCATTAAAAAGGCCCAACAAAGAATGTTCTTCTTGTATCAATTCAGGAAGTTCAGACTGCCCCAAGACCTGTTGATACAGTTCTGCAGAGGAATTATTGAGTCTGTCATTTGTACTTCTATAACTCTCTGGTTTGATACAACAACCAAACCAAACAGGTATAGACTTCAATGGATAGTTAGAACTGAAGAAAGAACAACTGCAAACAGCCTGCCTTCCATAGAAGACATGTATATTGCATCAGTTAGGAGGAGGGTTGAGAAAATATCTACAGACATCTTACATCCTAGACATAAACTGTTTCAACTTCTGCCCTCAGGACACCGCTACAGGGTATTGTATGCCAAAATAACTAGATATAGAGACAGTTTTTTTCCTCATGTCATCACTCAGCTAAACACCTAATTTCCACACTACTGTCTTATGTCTAAGTATAAATGAATTTACAAATGAATTATATTCTGTTACCCATTGCCCAATCATAAAATAATTTTACAGTATTTGAATATTTAGATGTTTCGGCATGCAGTTGTACCAGTCATGTGAAAAAGAAAGTACACCCTCTTTGAGTTCTATGGTTTTACATATCAACACATAGTAAAAATCATCTGGTCCTTAGCAGTTCTTAAAAGTAGGTAACTACAACCTCAGATCAAAAATAACACGTGACGTATTATACCATATCATCATTTATTTTACAAAAAGAAAGCCAAAATGGAGAAGGTATATGTAAAAACTAAGTACTTCAATAGCTTGTAGAACCACTTTTAGCACAAATAACTTGAAGTAATTGTTTTCTGCGTGACTTTATCAGTCTCTCACATCACTGTGGAGGAATTCTGGCATACTTTTCTCTACAACATTGCTCCAGTTCATTGAGGTTTGTGGGCATTTGTTTGACGTCCTGCCACAGCATTTTAATTGGATTGAGGTCTGGACTATAAATGTCAGTCAAGCTTTAATTTTTGGATAATGGCCTCATACTTATCTTTAGAATACTTTGCTATACAAGGCATTTGACAAAATAGACAACAACCTATATCTTGCTAAGCTAGAAAAATGTGGAATAGACAGCATCACCATCAGATGGATTTGTAACTGGCTGACAAGCTGTACTTGAGTCATCCTTAATGGTACTACATATACATGGACGGAAGTAAGCAGTAGGGTACCACAAGGTTCCATCTTAGGCCCAATATTCCTCAATATTTTCATAAATGACTTAGATGAGGGAATAGAAGAACTCATCAAATTTGCAATGGCACTAAACTGGCAGGAATAGCCAATACCCCAGAAGACAAGCTCAGGATCCAAAAAGATGTTGACAGACTTGATCAATGGGCCCTATCCAACAAAATGAAATTTATACTTAGGCAGGAAAAACCAAAGGTACAGTACAGATTAGGAGAAACCTGGCTCAAAAATAATAATTGCGAGAGGGACCTTGGAGTCCTACTGGACTTAAATATGAGCTAACAATGTGTGGCAGTCACCAAAAAAGCTAATACAATCCTGGTGTCAAGCTTAAAGCACGCTTTGCTGGTGTGACAATTATTGCTTCTCAGCTTGCCAACAAACTGTGGAAAGGGAGGGGGAATGGAATGCAGGCTACAAAGATAAAGGCAGTCCAAGAGAATGAAGGATGATTAACCAGGTGTCTGGCCAGACTCAGAGATACTTTCTCATAACAATATAATTGCACCTAATTAGGCAATGTGACCTATCCAGGATTGGGAAGGGGGAATGCTATACTTTTACTATAGGGGTTTGGGTTGGAGTTAGCCAGAGCTGGTTTTGCTTTCATATGTGCCAAAATGATGTACTCAATAAAGTTTTACATTAAGAGATCGGAACATCTCGAAGATGTTCGCTTGGTTGGGTTTGTCAGTCGGAACTTGACACCTTGGTTGTATAAACAGAGGGATAGAATCAAAATCACATGAAGTATTACTATCATTTTATAAAATCTTAGTAAGACCACACCTGGAATACTGCATCCAGTTTTAATCACCACATTACAAAAAAACACGTTGAGACTTTGGAAAAAGTGCAGAGAAAAGCAAATAAAATAATTAAAGGCCTGGAGACTAAAACATATCAAGAATGACTTCAGATTTTGGGTATGGCTAGTTTAGAGAAAAGAAGGACTAGGGGTGACATGATAGCAGTGTTCCAGTTTGAGGGGCTGCCACTAAGAAGAGGGGGTCAACTTACTTTCCAAAGCATCAGAGGATAGGACAAGAAACAATGGATGGGAACTAATGAAGGAGAGAAGCAACCTGGAATTAAGGAGAAACTTCCCAACAGCAAGAACAATTAACCAATGGAACAGCTTCCCTTCGGAAGTTGTGGGTACTTCCTCATTAGAGGTTTTTAAGAAGAGACTGGACAGCCACTTGTCTGAAATGGTATAGGATCTCCTGCTTGAGCAGGAGTTGGACTAGAAGTACTCGAAGGTCTCTCCTAGCTCTATTCTGAATTTGAATATACAATGGAGCTTATGGTCGACTCAATGACTGCATGATATCCAGATCCTGTGGCTGCAAAACAAGGCCAAATCATCACACTTTCAGCACTGTGCTTGACAATTGGTATGAAATGTTTGTGCTGATATGCTGTATTTGGCTTTTGCCAAACATGACACTGCATTACGGCCAAACATCTCTTTGGTCTTTTCTGTCCAAAGGACAGTGTTCCAGAAGTCTTGTGAATTGTTCAGATGCAACCTAAGCTGTGCTGCCGTATTCTTTATATAGAGAAGAGGATTTCTCCTGGCAACCCTTCCAAACAAACCATACTTTTTTCTAATTGTACTGTTATGAACTTTAACAATTAACATACTAATTGAGGCCTGTAAAGTCTGAGAAATAACTCTTGGATTTTTTGCAATTTCTCATGGTCTGATCTTGGGATGAATTTGCTGGGACATCTACTCCTGGGAAAGACTGGCAGCTATCTTGAAAGTTTTCCACTTGTGAATAATCTTCCTCACTGTAGAATGATGGATTCTCAATTCTTTGGAAATAGCCTTATAACTCTTCCCAGATTGAGGGGCAGCAACAATTGCTTCTCTAAGATCATTGTTGATGTATTTATTCTTTGCTACGTAGCCTCTTCATACCTATGAAAGCAGTAAGAGTGTACTTAGTTTTTCACACATGGCTTCTCTATTTTGGCTTTCTATTAGTAAAATAAATGATGATATGGTGTAATGTCATGCATTGTTGTTCATCTGAGGTTATATTTACTTACTTTTAAGAACTGCTAAGGGCCATATGATTTTTACTATGTCTTCACACATAAAACCACAGAATTTGAGTTCTGTGTACTTTCTCTTTCACATTACTTTATAAGCAGACTTGCATCATTAAAGTTAAGGCCACTTTTTATGGAAATGTTGTGGACTGCTGTTAACAATGCTTTGGTTCCTTTGGAAAATCTGTATAATGCATCTCAGAATAAAAAAAAACTGGCCATTGATGATATTGAATAAAATTAGAGCATTTTTTTAAAGGAAACTAAAAAAATGCACTACAAAATGAACTTTAACCATTTTATTTTAAAAGGAGAATTCTGTTCAAAGTTTGTTTAAAAACAATTAAACTTACTCTTTTCTTTTTCCACTTGCATAACCTGCTTCTTCCATTCATCAAATGTGGGAATATCTCCTGGGTCCTTTGGAGTTATTACAGAAGTAGGCTCAATTTCTCCTGCTTTTCTCTGCACACGGCAGCAAAATAGTAAAAAATAAGGTTTATTGATATTAACAAAAGATCAAGATTATGTAGAGAATGTGATGGGTATCCAAATGATCAGTTTATACTGAACTGATCATTTAAAATATAGGTTATCATTAATAGACCTAACAATTAATTGGCAAGGCCCCTGCTGTGCAGATCTTCCCGTTGTATTTGGAGCAATTATTTGAAAATAACTCATTTTAACAAAATAGACTATTAAATAAATTTCTGTCCTATACCAACAAATATTTTATCAACTCATTATCATAAATTAATCCAGGCACAAAGCCACAATAAAAAACACAGCATACCCAGTTTGAAAAAACTTTTTACGTTATTCATGCAATACCACTGCTTAAAGTGTCAATTTCTGGCTGAGAAGCCCAATGAAGCAAAGCACCAGAGGCATTGCGTTCTCTAATATTAACTTTATTAGGCAATAGCAAACAGGTACAATAGAATTAAAGCTATTTAATTCTAATAAACATATTTAATTATTCATATAATTGCGGCAGGCAGGATTGCGTTTGCACAAAATTTGAAAGCACTAAAAGCCCCCCAAGAGGGAGAGGTGATTGGGAAAATACTGGAATGTGCAGAAATGAATTAAAGATAAGACAGAGTTAGACTACTATGAAATCTGGGGAACTTTTTATGATTGGCTGAAAAGAGAATATGGTTAAAAGACAGTTAACATCAATTTAGATGGAAGAGGAAGGAGCAGATAAGGAGGAAGACCCAGGCAACACAGTATTGAATAACTGGAGGTTGTATAAATATTTATAGAAGTATATACCGAGAAGATTAGATAAATAGAAGTATTAATATAAGAGAAAATTAATCTTATTGTATATAATACAGATAGGGAAATTTGGAGAGAGGAGTTGCTCAGACATTACCCCTGAATTGTATCTGAAAGAGGGATGAGAGGAAAGAAAGGAGAGGAGAGAGAAAAGAGTAAAGGAGGGGAGAAGGAAGTAGGAAGGTTGGAGGAGAAGAAGTGGGGAGAAAGGGTAGGAGAGTGGTGAAGGAAAGAGAAGAGGAGAGGAAGAAGAGGAAAGTAGGGAAGAAAGAGAAGAAAGGGAGAAAGAAGGTAGAGAAGGAGTGTGGATACAGTGAAAGGGGAAATGGGCAAGCAACACCAAAAGTCATGTCTATGTATTTATTTCATTTTATTAAAAGTATCTTATATATAAGAATGTAAAAAGAATGTATGTTAACATCTGATAAATATCATGGTATATGTATGGGGGAGAGTTTGGAAAAATAAAAAATTAAATTAAAAAAAAGAATTAAAGCTAGCTCTGAGAAAAAGGCGAGAAGCAGTTAATTAAAAGAAGGAAACTTTCCCTCTCCTCTCTGACAGTTCAGGTCACATTATCCAATCCATTATCTCTGCTCACACTGGCTAAGACAATTTCTATGTCTATTAGTTATCAGCAGGGAGACTCACTTAGTACTTCAAACACAAAACAAGTAGTCCCAACAAACCTGGATCTTAGCGAAGAAATCTTGGCAACGAAATCCGACTGAAGTATCCTGTAACACGAATGGTTGTCTGGGACAACAGGCCACTCTCAAACTCTTCCTATTTATGTTCCAGCCAGGGAAGGGCTGGCTAACGTCTCCTTTTCCCTGAGAGCTGGCCCATTGCCTTCCGTTACTCTCCTCTCTCCTCTCCTCTCTGCGCATACACATATGTGTTCCTCCTCCTCACTCATTTCAGGCCCTGAAAACAGCTGCCTCTCCGCCTGAGCGTGGGTAGATGGTCCCAGCCCTGCATCTGGCCGTGAGTCTTCTTGCTCACTGGAGCCTTCCAAAGGCCCCAATGTAAACCCAGGCTCCCCTTCCACCTCCTTCTCATCTGACTCGGCTGCTAGTTCTGCTGGCAACCAATGGACCACAATACTATCCGTCACCGCAGGATCTTTCCCCCGGGTCGGACAGTCCGGGTACAGCCACGAAGGAAACTGATCGTGGAATGCCTGCACCAAAGCAGGAGCATGCACAGTGGCCACATCCTCCCATGTGAACTCCTCTGGTCCATAGCCATTCCACTTGACCAGGTACTGGAACTGGCTTTTCAGCAACATGAATCTCGGATGCTAGCGAGAGACCTTGTACTCGAGAGAGCTGTCTCCATCACACGGTTCAGGTGGGGGACATTCTGGTCAGGGGAGCAGACAGGCTGCTTGTTATGGAATCAGGAGGGACCAGTGAAAGACCGGATATACTTTTAACAAGCATGGCAATGTCCGGCGATATGTGACCGGGTTAATGATAGCTTCAATGGGAAAAGGGCCTAGGTAGCGGTGATCCAACTTCTTGACAGGATGGTCCGAAGGAAGGTGCCTGGTTGAAAGCCATACTTGATCTTCCACAACCAAAGCAGGCGTATCACACTTTTTTATAATCCACCATGGCTTTATCCAGTTGCCGTTGAACCAACTGATGGACAGCCTGTAACTTGGCAAGATAGTCATTAGTTGCGGGAACTGGCGAGTCGAGTTGCATGAGGGGAAAAAAACGAGGATGATACCCAACATTGGCCAGGAAACGTGTCATCTGCACGGAGGTGTGCTGAGAGTTGTTGAAAGTAAACTCAGCTACTGCAAGATAGTCTGCCCATTTGTCCTTAATGGCCACCTTAATGGCTAGTAACTCCTTCTCCCAGATAGTGTAATTGCGCTAGGTTGAATTAAGTTTCCCGAGTAATACGAACAAGGGAAGAGGGTACCACCGGGCACATGAGCCTGGAGTAGCACTGCTCTGATGGCAATATTGGACATATCCGCTTCCACAAATGGGTGGTGTAGGTCAGGGTGTTTCAGAATGGGTTCCTGCATAAAGGCTTGCTTCAAGGACTAGGAAACTTGTTGCTCCGGCATGCTCCATTGAAATGGTGTCTTTTTCTGAAGAAGCTGAGTGAGGGGCGCTTCAGGGAAGCAAAGCCGAGGATGAATGTCCTATAGTACTTGGCAAATACAGGAAGTTGCTGGACATCCTTGACTCGAAGTGCGGGTTTCCAACTATGCATGAATTCGACCTTATTCAGCTCCATAGCAATGCCCTCAGGAGAAATGCAATGTCTCGGGAAGTCAATGGTTGATTGATAAAGTTGGCATTTCTCTAGTTTGGCATACAATCGATACTCCCAGAGCCGTTCCTAGACCAGGCATAGGTGTTGATGATGACTCTCCCACAAGGGGGAGTAGATCAGAATGTCCTCCAGATAGATCATGACAAACTGATCCAACAGGTCCCGGAATATATCATTCGTGAAATGCTGGAAGTCAGCGGGGGCATTGGTCAGCCCAAACGGCATGACTATATACTCAAAGTGGCTATACCAGGTATTCAACACTGTCGTCCATTCACCACTGGGCGGGACTGTAACTAGATTGTAGGCTCCCCTCAGGTCCAGTTTGGTGAAGACTTTGGCCTCTCAAAGCTATCCCAGAAGTTCAGAAATGAGGGGCAGAGGCTATCTGTTGCACATGGTAATGGCATTCAATTTGTGATAGTCACAACAGAGCCTCAATTTCCCTGACTTCTTTTTCATGAACAGCACCAGCGTGGCCACCAGCAAAGACAAGGGCCGGATAAAGCCCCAAGCCAGATTTTTGTCCAGGAAGTCCTGCAATGCAGCCAACTCAGGGTCAGACATGGAGTACAAATGTCCCACTGGGAGAGACGCATCAGGGACCAAGTCTATGGGGCAGTCATATGGCCAGTGCAGGAGCAATTGATCGACAACTTTCTCACTGAAGACATCCACGAAGTCCACCAGTTCAGAGGAAAGGGAAATTCCTGGGGGACTCAGAACCTGGCTTGCGCAGACTTGGCAGGTGTGGTCCACTCATTGTAAACATTAACCAAGTTCTAGGACTAGTAAATCCAAGAATCGTGTGTCCAGAGCCATGCCAAGCCCAAGACCACAAGGAAATGGAGGTCGAAGGTGTTATAAAATTGAATGGCCTCCTCATGAGAGCCAATGGCCATACACAACGGTTGCATGACAACATTAATTGGCACCGACAGAAGACACTGCCCATCAATGGTCTTCACTAATAGAGGTGGGCCACCAGGCATTGAGGAACAGCCTATATGGCCACAAACACAGTGTCCATAAAGATAGTGGTTGCCCCGGAATCAACCAAGGCACGTACCAGGATTCCCTGTGATCTACCAGGTAGGATCAGATGTGCCGCCAAGATCAACTGCCGTGGGGGTCAGAATGACGTGTCTGATGGGTGTTGATCTGCATTGGTGGAGGCTCAGGGCATTTCCCGACAGATTATTCTGTCTTAATGGGGCAGACCTGGTAGACGACGCCCTTGTCACTTCTTGGGGCAAGAGGTGGCCATGTGCCCAGGTTCCCCACAGTATAAACACACACACCCAAACACCATCTATTCCTCTCCATCACCGATAGGTGGGGCCTGGTGGCACTTAATTCCATTGGTTCTTCCCACGTAGCTGGGTTCTTGCGCATGACAGGAGTCACCTGGGTCTCCAGGGAGGCACAGCAATTCCGCCGCTGCCGCCAAGATCAATCCATAAGCAGAGAAGAACCAACACGTTGAGGGGTTGGGGGAACATCGACATGGACCAGCTCGTCCAACAGCTCTTCCAACAAGCCATCCTGGAAAGTGTCCATAGGGCAGCTTCGTTCCAGGCTGAATCTTGGCTAAGCAGCTGAAACTTGCTGATGTATTCCTGCAGTGGGTGTTGTCCCTGCTTCACGGCTTTCAGGCGGCTAGTAGCAATCTGCGTCTTGATTGTGTCCTCATACATGAGCCGAAGGTGGTCACAAAACCCTAAAAATCATTCAACAATGGACTAGGCCAGACAAACAGAAGGCTGATCATAAACCCCACTTTATCCCAATCATTGGAGAAGTCCTCCGCTGTCAGGTTGATGAAGATCTGGCATTGTCCCCAAAATGTTGGAAACATGGCTTCATTACCATCAAATTTATCTGGTACCACTACTGGGCAATTCCGACAGGGTTATGGAGAAGCGTGAGCTTGAAGCTAAGCAACTTGTACTGACAGCAATACCACCTCTTGGTAGAGTTGGGCATTCTCTACACATACCTGCTCCATGTTAGTAGGGGGAGTGTTGCAGACAATCTGTTCTGACCCAGCGTTCATGAGTTAATGATCAACTCATGAATAAAAAAATCCCTTTTATTAAACAAGGCAGGAACAAACTTTGTTCACATGAGAACGACAGATAGCCAGTCTTTAAATGCTTAACCAAGCAGTAGCAGTCCCTGCTCACACCAGCTGAGACAATTTCAATGTCTATTAGTTACCACCAGGGAGACTCAATTAGCACTTCAAATACAAAACAAGTAGTCCTAACAAACTTGGATCTTGGCAAAGAAATCCCACTGGTTGAAGTATTCTGTAACACGAATGGTTTTCTGAGACAACAGACAAACTTGTCCTATTTATGTTCCAGCCAAGGAAGGCTGGCTAACGTCTCCTTCTTTTCCCTGAGAGCTGGCCCATTGCCTTTCATTGCTCTCCTCTCCTCTCTATGCGTATGCTCATCTGGAATGGGATCCATCTGTTCCTCCTCCTCACTCAGGCCCCCCAAATAGCTGCCTCTCTGCCTGACCATGGGCAAATGGCCCCAGCTCTGCATCTGGCTCTGACTCTTCTTGCTCATTGGAGCCTTCCAAAAGCTCCAATGTTAACCCAGATTCCCCCTCCTCCTCCTCCTCCTATGAGCTAGCAGCCAACAGACCACAACAATAATCTGCTTTTATGTACTGGGCTTTTACCCATCTAAATTCTGACATCGGGTAACCCTCCCATTGGATTAAGAACTGCAATTTCCCTTTGTGGATTCTGGAATCGAGGATTCGCTTAACTTCATACAGTATTTCCCCTTCTACTACTATTGGGGTGGGGCCGCCGTCCCTACTGGTCTCAGTGTGGATTCCTTGTATGCCTTCAATATGCTGCAATGGAATACTGGGTGCCCTTTACCCAACAACCTTGGTAGTTTTAGCTCTACTGTCATGAAATTAATGACTTTCACTGTGGGGAAGGGACCTATGTACTTCAGCCCTAACTTCTTGCAACTTTGTCTCAGCTTAAAATACTTTGTAGACATGTCACCACCCAATTAAGGGAGACTCTTTTCTCTTCCTTTTATTTCATTACTCCAGGTTTTGCCGTTCTCCTGAAGAGGAGGATGGAAGACACTGCGGGCTGTCTCTCTGTTTCTTTCTGTCACTACAATGTATCCTTTTCGCTGTTTCTGCATATCTACTCTTTGAACTGTCTCTCCCTTGATGTTATCTTGGGAGGAGAAAGGAATGAGCCTCCGGCCATCTGGCTTATTTCCCATTTCGGAAGGGAAGTTGTGAAGACCCAACAACATTGCTGCGAGCCTGGGAAAGACCTATTGTTATCAGCTCTTTTCCCACAACGGATTTAACACCTGAAGATTGGCCCATTCAAACTGGCCAGATGAACTATTGGGGTGGGGTTTGCTTGGGACTCTTTTAACCTATTTATCTGAGCGGGAAACCCTCAGGTCCTGCCTATCATGCCTGCTAACAGCTTCTCCTAATTAAAGTTCCTTTTGGAAGAAACTGTTTCCTGCTTTCTTAGGATGAGGTTTTGAAGTGGGCCCCGACACAAGTACTTTATCCCTTACATGGAACATCTTCTGGGGAGCTTGTTTCTTATCTGCCTGTTTTTTTTCTGGCTTTCAGCTACCTTAGCTAAAGCCTTCTTCACATTGCTTCAGACCCATTGGAATGAATCCACCCAATCACTTAGGGTGCTCAAGGAGGGAGGCTCCTGTGGGCACTCTGCTACAGGCACAAATTCCACCTGTTGCTAACTTAAAAGGAGTGAAAGGAGTACTGCTGGGCACTGCGTTGTTATACACCACCTCTGCAAATGTCAACAATTCTGCTCAGTTTGTTTGCTGGTACTTGACATAGCAGCGCAGGTACTGCTCCACTATGGCATTAGCTCATCTTGCAGGTCCAGTTGTAGTCAGATGAAAAGAAGAACTGTGCCCCCGGCTGGGAGAACCCAATTATCCTCACAAACTCCCCCCAGAACTTAGTAGTAAACTGACCCCCATGATCTGAAATGATACGTTTAGGTGCCCCATGCAGTCAGTAGATGTGTTGCAAAAACATCTTCGCTAGTTTTTGGGCTGAGGGGAGGCCAGTACAGGCGATGAAGTGGACATCAGTCCAAATCACGGTGCTCCCCCCACCTCTCACTATAAAGTCCATGGCTATCTCTTCCCAGGCTCTTGTTGCAGCAGCACTGGACTTTTCCCTGGTAGTCTTTTGCTGGCTGCACAAACAGCACAGCTCCCCCACATAGTTCTCAATGTCTTTCTTCATCTTTGGCCACCAGAACTGATGATTTGCAAGATGCAGTGTCTTCAGCAACCCAAAGTGGCCTGCCTGCTTAGCATTGTGTCTACATTGCAAGACTTGTAGCTGCAGGTGGTCTGGGCCATACAATATATTAATTATGAAGTCTTTAGTTAGCTAAAGTATCCCACCTTTAAACTACAGCTATTTAAATGGATTGGATAATGCTCAGTAAATTCATGTAGTTCAAATTCTTGATAACCTTTTTTCAAACACAGAGAGCAGTACTTAGAAACAAATCCTATTTTTTTTTAAACAGCAAAGGTCTCTGCAAACTAATTTTGGTGTGGAAATAACCCAAGAAAGCAGGGTTCATTAGAGTAGTCTTAGTGGAGGAGGAAAAGTTTAGTTACCTCTGCTCTTATGTTACCCGAAGCATTCAAAGCAGACTTCGCAGCTGTTTTTTGCTCACTTGCAGAAATTTTGGGATCAAATTCCGATTTTGTCAACTTCCCTTTCCTTTGTGAAGAAATATTTTCTGTATGCTGACCTACAAGGCTATAAAATATATAAACATTCAAAACAAAGATTTTCAGCTACGTTTGTCATTAAAACTTTAATACATTATAATAAATTATTATATTAACATATGAGTATATAAAATAGAACTGCCACTAAGGTATCATCATTACAAAAATCATTTCAATACTCACCCCTCTGGGGAAGTAACAAGCGAAGAAGGCTCACTCTGAGAATCAGCTTCAAGTGCTCCATTTATATCACAGTCAGATTCTGACTGCTCAACTTCAGTAGTGCTAACTACAAGGATATCAGCACTAGAATTTTCTATTGTACTGAAGGGAGATGGAAACAAACCAAAGATTTAGAATGCAATTCAGAGATAAAAAAACAAGATTACACTATAAATATATCAAACCCAATGTTTTGTGAAAAAAATTAATATGTCTTGCTTTTAGATCTACATTTCAATTCAAATCCAAGATTTGAATGATGTCTAAATAACATTAGCAAAAAATATAAGCAAATTTGTACGTTTTCTAAATTCAGGTATTTGAAGAACTGGATGTGGTAGAAAAGAAGTAGCATGAAATGAGGAAGCTAAACAAACGTTGGGAATTTTTCGTTGAAATAAATTTGCTTGAAGTAGTTTTCAAGTCAAACTTATCAATCAACATCTTAGATGACTTCACTGTCATACGAAGTGATTCCAACACTAACTGTTCAGTATAAAGCTAAGCCAGACTAATATCACACTCGGATGTGGATTCAGACATACTTTGATATAGGTATGACTTTTTATACTGAAGAAATGTGGGGAAGTCAAAAGTATTGGTATCAAATGGAATGGAGCAGGAAATGATTCAGGGTCTATCGAATGGTCTGTGGATTATTTTACTTTATTACCAAATTTTAATTTAAAAATTAAAATGAATCTGCTTCAGAACCATATGTTTTTTGTGGAGATCCAGGGAAGGCGAAGTAGATGAAGGAACCAAAGGAACAGTTTACCACTGAGTAGTATATCGGCTCCAACTCTTTTTAATATTTACACCAACGATCAGCCTCTCCCTGAAGATACTAACAAACAACTATATGTATACCGACAATTGAGCAATGACCATACAAGGAAAAATATTTGAAGAGGTTGAACAACATTTAACTGAAGCCCTGGTAGAGCTGGATTGATTGTTGAAATCCAACAAAAACTCAGGTCCATGCTTCCCTGAAAATAAGACCCAGTCTTTTTTTTTCCTCCAAAAGGGGTGCCAGGTCTTATTTTCAGGAGGTGTCTTTTCCACTCACCTCGCCGTGGCGGCATCGACAGCCCCGCCCAACCAACCCACTTCTACTGTGACCGAAGAAGCAGCTTCATTCTGCAGCTGAGAATGGAGCTCTGACCTGCATTTTGCAGTTAGTGGTCTTTCCGGAAGGCCTCTGCAGCCAAGAACCGAGGTATGGATTGAATCTATAGCTTGGTTCTCGGCTGCAGAGGCCTTCTGAAAAGGCCTCTGTCTGTGAAATGCAGGCTGGGAGATGCCGCAAAAGAAGTGGGACGGTGAGGAGAGGCAGGTGTTGATCCATGGGAGGTCTGGTAAGTGAGTATGGGGCGCGTGGGGCAGCTCCACTACCCTTCCCCACCCTAGTTTGATTTTTAGGCATGCACCTCACTCCAAAACTAGGCCTTATTTTTGGGGTAGGGCTTAGTTTCGGGAAAACATGGTATGTGCCTTCCATCTTCACAATAAGCAGGCTGCTAGAAAGCTGCATATTATATGGAAAGGGACATTATTGGAGCATTGCCTCAGGTGTAACTATTTAGGGGTCACTCTAGATAGGGCCCTAACATACCAATGTTAAAACTGAAGGTCAGTGGACAAAATAACATCCTCAGGAAATTAATAAGCTCTACTTGGGGTACCAAACCATGGGTCCTTAAGACAACCACTACTCGAAAGGTGAATCCGCCTCCCTGTCTGGTACAAATCAGCATATGCTGGCAAAGTAGATGTTGTTTTGAATGAAGCTAGCAGAATTATTACCTGATGCCTTAAATCTAGCCCTCTAAGTAAGATCTACCACTTAGCCACATTGCCCCACCTACTGTTCACAGAGAAGCAGCAGCATACAGAGGGAGGTTTAAATCATCTACCATGTTTCCCTGAAAATAAGACCTATCCCAAAAATAAGCCCTAGCTCGATTTTTGGGGGTGGGCCTAACATAAACCCTACCCCCAAAATAAGCCCTAGTTTTGGGGTGAGGCGCATGCCTAAATATCGAGTTAGGACGGGGGTGGGGGTGAAGCTACCTCAAGCGCCCCACATCCCCTTACCATTGCAGCCAGGCCTCCCATGCCCTGACACCTGCCTCGCCTCGCCAGCTCACTTCTGCGGCTGCTTGCAGCTGTTTGCACATGTGTGTCGCCCCAGGCCTCCATTTCACTGTCAGAGGCCTTCAGGAAATGCCTCTGCAGCTAAGAATGGAGCTCCGGATTGATGCGCACAGTGCCCCGAGTGTTCAAAGGCACTGTTACACTTAATTTAGGCTCAATAGTGAGAAACTGGTGAAGCGGGCACAGCAGTGCCTGCATTTTCTGCATCGCATGAGAAAAGCACATCTTCCTTCCCTTGTCCTGATCACTTTCTACAATGTAAATAACAAAATGTAAATAACAAAATGAGAAAACAGAAATATTTACCTGGACTGAGAGTCTGGTGAGATCTCAGGAGTAGGTAGGCTGAACATATTTTCAGGAGTATTAGTTATGATGAAAGAAGCTTCATTTGAATTAATTGAAGATTGTTCCTGAATTTCAGATTTCTTTAAGTCCTCTTTTTCCATGTTCTGTTCAAAAAAGCACAACAGATTTTAACATGAATTCTAGCAACTTCAGAACTAACATTTTATTACTCAGAAAAAAGAAACATATGTTAAATGTTTTAGTAATACAGAGTAAACTAACTGCACAAAAGATTTTAAAGAGGGAGGGAACAGAAAAAGCTAATAGCTAAAAGCTAATCTTGAAGCTATTAATAAAGTTATTTATTTTATTTATTTATTTAGCATATGGCATTCAATTTATGTCCCAACTTTCTACCAAAGGAAACTAACTAAATATTCCAGGTGCTAATTCAGGATGCTTTTCTGGACTGTAATTAGCCCAGCAAATTTAAATTCTCTGTTCAGGTAGTCAGTTTTTTCCTAATGTATATGCTTTTTAAATACAAGCACCCATTAAATCCTTTTGTTTTCTGATAGTATCTTTTATGGGTTTTTTTACAATTGTTTCATTATGGCAATTGTATGTTGTTACTGATCCCGGAAATAAAGTTAGCATACCCATTAGATTTAAGTGCACATTAGGGTTTTTATAATAGATTCACATATCGTGTTTCCCCCAAAATAAGACCCAGTCTTATACACACACACACACACACACACACACATACATTATAAAATTTGGATTGCTAACAAAGAATTAAGGGAGAATGGAATAGCTATTTCGAACTTTTTAGTTCTCGTCAACTGGACATACCCTTCTGAGATTCGAACCTGGGCTGTCTGCATGTTAAGCAGCTGTGTTAACCTATAGGCCACTTCTAAAAAGTTCAAAATAGCTATTCCATTCTCCCTTAATTCTTTGTTAGCAATCCAAATTTTATAATATAAATGATGTCGCAGTTGTGACTGCTGCCTGTGGATAGCTCTACTTTGAGCTGATACAAGGCAAAAGATTTCTTTCTCCCATATTTGGGAGACAGGGTGCATCAAAAAGTACTCAAGGTAATTCTTCCCCCTCTCTTCCTGACACAGCTGACAAAGTGAGAAAAAGCCTGTGGCCTAGAGGTTAACACAGCTGTTTAACATGCAGACAGCCCAGGTTCGAATCTCAGAAGGGTATGTCTGGTTGACGAGAAGGATATGTCTGGTTGACGAGAACTAAAAAGTTTGAAATAGCTATTCCATTCTCCATTAATTCTTTGTTAGCAATCCAAATTTTGTAATATAAATGATGTCGCAGTTACGACTGCTGCCTGTGGATGGTTCTTGTTTGAGCTGATACAAGGCAAAAGATTTCTTTCTCCCATATTTGGGTCGACAGGGTGCATCAAAAAGCACTCAAGATATACATACATATATACATACGTACATACGTACATACATACATACATACTGCCTCCAAAAGAGGCACCAGATCTTATTTTGGGGGGATGTCTTATCTTAGGACTGCTGCAGCCAGGCCTCCCACATCCAGACACCTGTTGTGCCAGTGCCTGAGTTCTTCTGCGCCCACTTGCGGTGCACACATGGCACACCGATCGTACTGCTGCCGTTGCTCACACCATGAGGCTCGTCAAACCAATTGCGTCGCTGCCACCACATGGCCTGATGCTACAAGTGGCAACAGCGGCACAATCAGTGCGACGAGCCTTGTAGTGCGAGTGGTGGCATTGGCACGATCGGCACTAACCTCATGCTATGAGTGTTGGCAGTAGCGTGATGCGCCATGTGGTGTGTAGCCACAAGCTGCCACAGAAGAACTGGGGCAGCAGTGTGACAGGTGTCGGGGTGTGGGAGGCCTGGCTGCAGCGGTCCTAAGGTAAGCGGGTGCAGGGCGCATGGGATGGGTCCAGCCCCACAACCCCTAGCTTGATTTTTAGGCATGCACCTCACCCCAAAACTAGGACTTATTTGGGGGGCAGGGTGCTACCCTTTGGACTGCAGGGGAGCCCTGCTGTTTTCATGCAATTGATCAACAAGGTTCTTCATGAGCACCCGTACAAGGGAGGTTTGGTTTATGATATCTTTATCTATACTGAGACCAAAGCAGAGCACGTCAAACTGGTCAGAGCAGTATTAAACAAACTGCATTCTGCCAAGCTATATGCCAAACTTTCAAAGTGCGAATTCCATAAAGATCACATTTATTACCTGGGCTATCTCATCTCAAGCAAGGGGGTGGAGATGTACCCAGAGAAAGTGCGGGCTGTACTGGAATGCCCCCCCCCTCATATTAGAAAGCAACTACAAAGCTTCCTGGGCTTTGCAAATTTTTACCAGCATTTTATCCCTTCCTTTGCACAGATTGCACTCCCCATTGCAAATCTTTTAAAGACCAAATGCGAGAATAAGCCAAAACCCAGACAACTACTGAAATGGACTGTAGAATGCCAGGACGCTTTTGAAAAGCTAAAGAGACTTCTTTCAGCTGGTGCTGAAATACCCAGATCCGGGGGAGGCTTTTGTCATTCAAGCTGATGCCAGTGACATGGCAGTAGGGGTGGTACTCCTCCAGAGAAACAAAGAGGGCCAGCTATAACTCTGTGCATACATGTGCCAAAAATTATCTGAAACTGAACAAAGGTGGGCGGCCTAGGAGGAGGAGGCCTATGCGGTATGATGGGCTCTCCTGACTTGGAGACATTTCCTAGAAGGGAGTAAAATACTCTTCCAGGAGAATCTCAAAGCACTGAAAACCCCTAGAAAACTGTCCCGAAAGCAAGCACGGTGGGCTCAGCAGTTCCACCAATTCAACTTTACTATTCATTACCTCCCTGGGGGAAAAGAATTACTGGCAGATGCCCTGTCTAGAATGCTGCAATACAACAGTGTAAAATCTGAAATAGTTAAACCAATGCTGTCCCCCAAAGAGCTGGCAGCACCAGTCATAAGGGCGCAAACCAGAACCCCTGTGCCACTAGACAAAACAACAGCCCACAAATTTAAGAAAGCACTAGAAACAGATGAGTAGTTTTTGAACCATAAAAATTTGTGTTTAATAAAAGACAACCTGGCCTGGGTCAGACAGAAACTATATGTTCCAGCAGCTCTGAGACTAAAAGTAATGCAAGCTGGCTACGATTCGAAAATAGCTGGACACTTTGGGTTCGTCAAAACCCTACACCTTCTTAAGAAACAATTCTGGTGGCTCTCTTTAAAGGACATTGAGGGCTATGTGGCCAGTTGCTCCATACGTGCAGCAGCAAAGCAGTGGCAAGGGAAAGCACCAGGGCTGCTTCAGTGGGTGGCAAGCCCTTCAGCACCTTGGAGAGATCTCTATGGATTTTATTGTGGGGCTTCTTGAAAGTGTGGGAAATACAGTTATTTGGGTGGTTACGGACCTCTAGGCAGGCCCATTTCATCCCATGCCCCAAAATCCCAACCACCAAAATGCTGGCTAAACTCTTTGTACAACACATTTATTGATTTCATGAGGCCCCACAACATATACTCTCAGACAGGGGGTGGTGGTCCAGTTTACATTCAAGTTCTGGAAAGCCTTTCTGGACCTTCTGGGTTCTAGTCAGCAGCTGTCATCTAATCATCATCCTCAAATGAATGGTGGGACAGAGAGACTGAACTCTATTTTAGAATAGTATCTTAGATGCTTTATCAACTATCAAAAAGATAATTGGAATGATTTGTTACCTTTTGTTGAAGTTGCTTATAACAACACAGTGCATTCAAGTATTGGTTTCACCCCTCCCCAGGTTGCAAATGCACAAACCTTTGTCCCTATGCCTGAACTGCCTATCAAGGAACCTGACATTCCTTCTCTGCAGGAATGGATTAAACAACAAAATACCTAGCATGTAGTACAGAAGGCTCTGGATGATTCCAGGGCCCCTAGAAAGCTCTTGCCGACAAAAAGGGAGTGGAGCCTAAGCCTTTTAATGTAGGAGATAAAGTCTACCTCTCTACCAAATACCTACAGTTTTTACAGCCCTCTAAAAAATTAGGTCCTAAGTTTGCCGCGCCTTTTCCTATTAAACATATCATCAACCCAGTGACTATCGAACTAGAGCTCTCTCAGAGCCAAATCCATTCTGTTTTCCACTGTAGCCTGCTCAAACCGGAGATTACGTCTAACCTTAGGCCACCTGCACCTCCGGTGCCTACATCCATATTAATTGAGGGTGAACAACACTTTCTTTTTTTTTAACAATATTTTATTAGGTTTTAAACAGGTATGGGAGGGGTAAGGTCAATATGGGTATCGGGATTCAGGGTAGGGTTCAGGGATAGGATTGGGGTAAGGGTAAATACAACAATGGGGTTACCCCCAATAGCAATTCAATGCTTTAGTAAGCAGACTACTGTCCGCATACAAATATTCAATAACAATAATTAATATAGTGGTAAATAGCTATAACCAGTAAGAATAGCAATAATCATAAAAAGTATCAATTAGTCAGTAAATATAATTCATCTTATCAAATTTCACAATCCTTTCTCGCTAGATCATTTTGCTAATCATTGATAAAATTTTTCCCATGTTTTAAAATAAACTGAGTCTTCTTTCTCTTTAATCTCTAGGGCTAGTCTGTCCATTTCTGCACATTCTAAAATTTTCATAATTATGATCTGATCAGATGGTAGATTTTCATTTTTCCAAAATTGGACAAATGCTACTCTCGCAGCTGTCAATACATGTAATATTAAATACTCATTCTCTTTTCCATAATTGGGTCCTAGTATTCCTAACAAAAACAGCTCTGGCTTGAATTCTATCTGTATTTTAGTCTTTTTTTCCAGCCATATATGAATCTTAAATCAAAAATTTTTTGCGCTAGGACAGACCCACCAGATATGATAATAGGTACCTGACTTTTGTTTACATTTCCAACAATTATTCAATACATTTTTAAACATTTTCGCTAGTCTAACTGGTGTCATGTGCCATCTATAAAACATTTTATATAAATTTTCCTTATATGAAGCTGCTTTAGTAAGTTTGATATTTCTGTCCCATAGCTTTTGCCAATCTTCTAAGTCTATAGAGTATCCAAAACATTTTGCTCATAATAATCATTGTTTCTTTTACTTGTTCTTCTTCCATTTTC